ATTATCACCAGTGATGCTGCCTTTAGGGGATGCAAAGGATGCATGTTTTAATCCAACATGTGCTCTGACAGCTGGCCTAAAATGCATCGCTTTTCTTTCTCTCCGAATTATGGGGATTTTTAATAACTCTTAAAGCGGAGTTCCAGCCATTTTTGTGTTTATTACATGAACTGTGTTTATTACATGAACTGTAGCTGCTGACTTTTAATAAACACACACTTACATGTCCCAGAGTCCAGCAATGTTCTTTCCCCTTCTCTCCTCCACGGCACCAGCATCTCAACTGTGGGCACCATGCTGTGACAGCTTGCAGCTTCACAGCCTGGTGCCCACTGCGCATGCTTTAGTCACACTGCACCTCCTAATTGGTCCGGCAGTCTCCTGGGACCTATGAAAGTTCCCAGGAGACTGCAGGAGGGAGGAGGAGGCCGAACTTCTGGCTCACTTTGCAAACTGAGCCAGAAGTGGGAGCGGGTACCTGTCAAAACCAGGTACCCGCTCCCCACTCCCCCCCAAAGGCTGCCAAATATGGAAAGCTTCTGCTTTTGAGTGGAACTCCGCTTTAACGCTTATCTAAATAGTCTCTAGTTTCTGTAATACAATACATTTATTACTGGCTCCATCTAGTGGTCAAATTTTATATTGCAGTTAGGACAGGTATAATACATTATATTCCCCTGCTGGATGCAGAAGGTTATGTTACAGAAACATACTTTAACAGTACCAGGCAAGAAACAAGGGAAAAACCTGTAACAGAGCTCAGCAACTGATATCATGTTTTATTACTATATTTTTTTAAAACTTCTTAACCCGTTTTGGAACAGGCTACCTTCAGTTAAGTAATTTGGCGGGGTGGCCTAAAGCACTACATTTGTGGCTAGAGAGAGACAAGAAGCCCTATGCAAACAGACTGTGCCCACTGAATGCATAATATAACTTAAAAGCGTTGTATATGCACGACCCAAATTTACCTACCAAAATACCCTCTGGCCATCTAAGTTTCCTTTAGGTAGAAACAGCAATTATTACTTTTTTTGTGACATCAATCTGAGGCCTGAAAAAATATTGCAGAGACATCTACTTGACAGAAGAATCAGTGTACCCCTAGGTCAGTTCCTATTGATGTAGTCATGCACCCTCCAGAACTGCATCTTCCAAGAGCCCTTTTGTCTAGGCAGCAGCTGGGAAAAAAGAAAGTTTTGCTGGGAAATAAATCAATGTATGCATGTGGAGAGGGACAGAGAGGGGCAGGAACAGGCTAAGATCTGTAGTCCAGCTGGGGAGAACTCAGGCAGGGCTGAATACACTGCATGGGAATTCAGTGCAGCAGAGTCAGTGTTGTCAGCCAACTAGGGTACTAAAAGCCTGGGGCCTGGGGGTGGAAGGAAGCCCCAAGTCATTGATGCAAATTAAACGTACAAAATGTATGAACACATGAAGATAACACATATTCTTTACTATTAATAAGGGTTGGAGAGGTTGCTGTCAACACTGACCATCTAACCCAATTTAGTCTGCAGAGCCAATGACAGATGCATAAGAAGAGCCCTCAGGATCAGTCACTAGTCTCAGATTCCTACTACTTTCTTTGTACAGTTGTTTTTCTTTGCAGGGTAAATGTATTGCCCTCATAGCTTTTGTTGCAGCTCCCAGCCAGTTTTAAAATAGCCCTGTATGCCTAATGGGATTTTCCTCAGATTGTCTCAGCTAAAAACTGATAGGACAGCTGAGGTTTGTACTGTTTTTAGAGATTTTTATTAGGATGATAGAGTAATACTAATTATGTGTGGGAGCATTAGCAATTATGTAATCATATAAAAATGTGATGTTGATTATAATTGCTATATTTGCTACCATCGTCCTTCCTTCCTTCCTTCCTTTCCTTCCTTCCATCTGTCCGTCCGTCTGTCCTTCCTTCCTTCTGTCAGTCCTTCCTTCCTTCCTTCCGTCTGTCCGTCCTTCCTTCCTTCTGTCAGTCCTTCCTTCCTTCCTTCCCTTCCTTCCTTCCTTCCTTCCTTCCATCCTTCCGTCCGTCCGTCCGTCCGTCCGTCCTTCCTGCCTTCTGTCAGTCCTTCCTTCCTTCCGTCCTTCCGTCCTTCCTTCCTTCCGTCCTTCCTTCCCACCTGTTTCTGCACTTGCTTGCTGTGGTGTGGGAGAACTTAGAATATCCACCAAGGCCCTGTCAGCTCTCTTGCTACCTATCCTTGATTTAGGCATATTTTATGTTAGAGAAGATACAGGTCACTATGGGGCCTCATCAAAATTCTGCCATGTGGTCCCATAATCTGTAATTATGTCCATGAAGGTAGGATCTTACTGGATTTTGGACAGGATCTTCTGTTCTTGCAGCATTCTAAAAGGTATAAAGACATAGGTCATAAACGAATGTGCATTTTTTGCAGAGATGTACTGTATATGTTTTTGTTTTCAATTTTACCTAGACATACAGCTAATTATTTACAGTTTTGAACCTTTAAAATGTATGTTATGGCCAAATTATTCAAGAACCAGTCTCAGTAGAATGTGAAACAGCCACAGAACTGTAATTATTTGCGTTCATTCTGACACAAGTATTTTGGGAGGTCACTCTATTTTTGGCCTTTTAAGACGCTGCAATTTTTCCATCTACATTCTCTGCAAACGGAAACCTACAGGGAGCTGATGACCAATGTTGTACTTGTGGGCAAGTAGACAGGGCAGACGTCCAAAGCACATTTGCTGATCCCTAGAAGATTCAGTACTCGGTTATGCCTGGGAAGGGTTCAGAGCAGAGATGCAGCAATACTTCAAACACAATGATCTCTGGAAGCTACTGCTAGGAAATTGGGCAATAATCATGTTGTGGCATTTTAAAAGGGAAAAAGCTGTTCTCAAATCACTCAAGACCTGACCGATACTTTGGAATATTGTATTGTTTGCGACAGCTTTAAAGAATTTTCCCTTATGTAAAAAAATAACTAGTATGAAAAATCAACATGTACCCAAAAACAACACATTGCAGGGAAAGCCTGGAACTATATCATCCTTCTAACTGAGATTTAGAAATGTTAATAAAATAATATGAAATATATGTCAAGAGATTTACATAGTACTGTCAGTTCAGGAACATAATGCATTGCATAGAAATATAGAAAAGTGGCAGCAGAAAAAGACTAAGTGGTCTATCGAATTTGCCAGTATTTTTTTTTTTTTGGAGGGGTGCAGGCAGGGTGTTTGGGGTTTTTTTTAAAATATAGATCTATGCTTGTCCGAAGCATGTTTGAAGCTGTTTACTGTTGACTGGCTCGCTACCTTTGCTGGCCGTTATTTCTTAGCGCCGCCAATTTACGCAGTGCTTTACATATATAAATAGTGTACATTCGCATTAGTCCCTAACCAGGGGCGGAATGACAACTCATGGGGCCTCCGGGCAATAGGGGATCATGGGGGCCCTGTGTCCTTGCCCAAACTCAAAAAAAAACCTATGAAAAAGGTACCAGGGGCATCTCATGGGGCCCCCTACTGACCCCGGGCCCTCGGCAGTGCCCGAGTTTCCAAATGGTCAGTCCGCCCCTGTCCCTAACCCTCAGGGAATGTACAATATAAGGTCCCTAACTTACATTCATATATATATATACTAGGGCCAATTTAGACAGGATTTAATTAACCTGCCAGCATGTCTTTGGAGTGTGGGAGGAAACCCACGGAGGCACAGGGAGAACATGCAAACTCCAGGCTGGTGGCACCTTGGTTGGGTCCGAACCAATGATCCTAGTACTGCCAGGCAGAAGTGCTAACCATTTAGCCACTGTGCTGTTTATTCCAAGCATCAACTACTCTTTCAGTAAAATAGTACTTTCTGAGATTTTGAACTTCCCTCCAGTTAGTTTAAGGTCATGTCTCCATGTTCTTGATTTTGGTTTCATGTTGAAAATACTGTCCTCCTGAACCTTATTCACTCCCTTGATGCATTATGTTGAATCATTTGAAAACCTGGGAGTCAATCTCCATAATTAAAATGTTTTAAATTTAAGAAGAGCATAAAAACATATTGGTCATTTTGGTAAAGTAAAATGTGTGCAGCATTTTACTTACTGTGCTTTATGTTCCAAATCTATTAAAATGTTTCATTAAATCCACAAAGGGCTTTATCCAATGGATCATCTAAATTTATCATACACATATTATTTTATTGATGTTTGCTGCATTTTGAGTGTAAAAGTCAATTCACGACGATTATCACGTACGTCATCGCTTTTTACAGCAACTCTGTCAATAGAATAAAGTTTTTTTTAAATGTGCCCCCAACAAAGAAGAATATTTATCTCTACCACCACCTGTTTTGCAGATCTTCCCTGCATTGAATAAATACCACTGTCTGAAGAATCTTCAGAATCTAATATTTCAGGAAATGTTGGATGCCTTGTCCCCTGCTGTAGTCAATTGTTTGATCTGCCATCTTTTATGGCACTGCTGTGTCCTGTAGTGACAGAGAGGCCTGTAAAGGGAATCACAGATCACAACAGGGGAACAGGCATGTAGGCAGGTGCCTAGTAAGATACATCTATGTGCTGCTAAGTAAGGGTTAATGTGTGGTGCTGTGGGGTTAAGTATTCTGTGGGATGATATGTCTTCCCCTGCATGACTCAATTCTAGCTTTCTGTGCATGGAAGGGGAACAGTGAGGACAACCTGTGTTGCTATGTGAGCCTGAGTAGTGGAGGTGCTTCTCTTTGGAGGGATCTCGGGGTGGGTTCTGCACATCGGCCTATGACCACCACTGAGGACATGGACTTAACCTATTCTAAAGTTATGGACAATAGACATGTGCAGAACGAAAAAATGTGTTCCATTTCGGATCGATTTGTTAAGTTACTAATTTTGTTTCATTGCTTTCATAACAAAATTAGATTCATTAAGTTACATTTCATTTTCAGCCAGTTTGAATTTTACCAATGAATTCAAAGCATTCTAATCGAATTCAAATCAAAAATATCGAATTGATCCAAATTCATTGTGAAGAATAGCTGGTTCATTTTAGAAGATGGTTATATTCTTTCTAATTTATTTTTTTTTTTTTATATTCTATTCTTTTATTTTCTATTTTATTAAATTCTTTTTGTTTACTATTCTATTTTATTATATTCTTTTATTTATTCTATTCTATTTTTATTCTATTCTGTTTTTTTTATTTTTTATATTCTGTTCTATTCTTTTTTAGTTGTTTATTTTCGATTCGATTCTTTTCTATTCTATTTTATTCTATTACTTTATTTTCTATTCTATACTGTTCTGTTTTACTCTATTCTTTTCTATTCACTTCTATTCTGTATCTTTCTAATCTATTCTTTTTGACATTCAGATTTATGGCTATATTCTAACACTAATACACATAGTATTTGATGGAAATCAGCAATAGTCAGTAATATGTTTATATTTCAAATTTGTTTTTGAATTTGATCTAGTTTTTTAATTTGGTTCGAATTTTGGACCAGATTTTGTTTTGTTATATCGGATTCGTTTAAATTTATTGCTATTGTAATACAGAAATTCAGATGCATCTGAATCTTCACTTAGCAAAAAATTTGTCTGAATCTCCATTCGGTACAAAACGAACTTCTAATGGACAGCTCCAGTTAACACCACATGGCACAGCCAACAGCCTGGTATAATGTTACTCTTAATGGAAAAGGAGAATGCATAGTGATATTTGTATGTGATGCTGTTTGCACTGCAGTGAAGCTCTAAAGGATTGTAAATATTATTTATATAGTAAAGAAGTTGCAAGTTAAGTACATTATCTGGTCTGAGTTACTTGAGTAAGAGCAAATAAGGACTCATGTACACGGGGCGTTTGGAAAACTCTTCTGAACGATGGAAACTGACTGCTGGAAAACGGAGGTTAAAAAAACGTCAGTTTAGCTGCGTTTGCATACCGCGTTTATGTGCATTTATGAGTGTTTGCATTTAGAAGCGTTTTTAAAAGATAACCTCAGGAGACCTTCCCAAATACCCAGAATGCACTGAAAAACAGTAAATAATTAACTATTTCAGACATTTTGAGAGAAATTGAGAGAGCAGAAGCAGAGAAAAAGCAGTATGTGTTGAGATGACCTGTCTTTTCTGGTTGTATTCACTATGGATCCCATCATGAGCATAATGCGGCACGTTCTACCATTTTTTCCTTCATGCGAAACCTGGAACTGACTGCGCTGGTGTACCGGGTCCATTGAAATACATGGAAAACGCTTTGCATGCATTTCTGATGATGAAAAAAAAGGCTCTGGACAGCATCTGGACATGGAACAGTTAAAAACCGCTTCTAAACTCAAATGCATATAAATACAGTTAACCACGTTTACATGCGTTTACAAGCATTTGGCGTTTGAAACATCAGTAAAATCTACTCCTGAACGCAAGTATGGTGCATTCAAAAAACGACCGTAAACTCAACTGCCTGTAAACGACTGTAAACGACTATGCGTACATGGACACATAGGAAAACATTAGGGAGAGTTCAGGAGCTGCTGAAAAAAACAAAGAAAAAGCTCCTGAACATCAGTTTATCAACTGCAGTGTACCCCTAAGTGTATTCACAGTGTAATAAAGAACTGGGGATGGGAATGAAGACTATCATCTTAACTTGCAGTTATAGAGCAAAGTGTGTATTAAGGTTAACTCTTGATGTTATGAAGCAAGGAATGTCAAGAAGGAACACCAGCCAGTTCGGGAGATGGAGATGTGGTGGTCAGTGATGGAGGTTCCTTAGGTGGGGGTAGCAGGTCCCCAAGGGACAGCAGGGTCCCTGACTTAGAGCCTGCTATGCAATGGAAACTTCCTTGGGACTGGGCATGGAACCATGTGTATGCAATAGGGCAGAGCCTAGTATATCTGATTTGGGGGTACAGTAAAAAAAAGTCAGAGGGCATAATGTCAATAGTGTGACAGAGAAGCATGGAACCATCATTCTCTGTTCACTTGGCAAGCTTCTGTACCCTGGAGTCACAACCTGGAAGTAATGTCTGACAGGTAGTACAGAGGTGGTGCAGGAGTGAACAGAGAACACTATTATGTATTAGTATGATTAAACAGAACCTGTGCCCCCTTATATCAGGTGTCCCTATCAGAGTCCTTCCTTACATCAGGAGTCCTCCTCAGAGTTCCCCACACATCAGAGTTCCCATAAGAGTCCCCCCTCACATCAGGTGTCCTCAACAGAGTGCCCCTTACATAAAATGTCCACATCAGGATGCATCCCTCACATCAATTTCCTCCCCCCCAAAGTGCCTGTGGGATCCACTGTCCCCCATCAAAGTCCCCCTTACATCAGTTGTCCTCATCAAGTCTCATGGATCAGTTGTATGTATCAATGATCAGGAGGGGGGCACAGCTAAATCCAGGCCTGGTATGCAGGGCCCTGCAAACTAAGTGTGGTGGCTCCTCTCTGCCTTTAAGGCTGGATATATATAAAAGTATAGTGTGAGTGTCATGAAGAGTTGGCAGAGGGTAATCAGCAGGGGCGGACTGACCATTTGGAAACTCGGGCACTGCCCGAGGGCCCGGGGTCAGTAGGGGGCCCCATGAGATGCCCCTGGTACCTTTTTCGTATGCTTTTTTGAGTTTGGATAAGGACACAGGGGCCCCATGATCCCCTATTGCCGGGGAGCCCCATGAGTTTTCAGTCTGCCCCTGGTAATCAGTACTCAATGTTAATCCCTCAAAATGACTTTGCAGTCAGTGCTGGGACAGGTGTCACAGACAGGTGAGAAAACGTGGTCATTCTGTGTGTGGGGCCTGGTGAAACAGTTTGGTCTCTGGCCATAAGAGGCACTAACCCACATGTGAGATAAATGTAACAGAATGCAGTTCCCCCATGCTGTCTGTATATGCCTACAGACATGTATGCTCCTGGAAGTTTTTGATTCTTTAGTGACTGGTGTTCCTGCAATACATCAAGGATGAACAGCACAGGTAGTGGGAGATGTAAGTATTAACTGTCTACTTTGACATGAAGTGTACTGTAATCATTACAGTGGTTTCCAGCTTCCACAAGGATCCCACAGGTATGGAACATTCATACCTACATTCTAAGTCATTCCAAGTACAGTATGGTCCAAGCTTGACCATGTACCTATTCACCAATATGCATTCCTGGACTCAGCTTTAAAGAAGAACGTCACGCTCTCAATCAACATTTACTGTTTTCAATCATGCTGCTAGTAATACTAAATAGATAGGAAGGTATGTTATATTTTCTTGTGTAACGCACCCCTGTGGGATCCACAGTATAGAAACACCCTCTGAGATTTTTCGTGGACATTGGTGGCAGTATCGGTAACGGAGCTGACCGATTTTTTGTTTATCAGCCGACAATTCGGCCGATAAACGGCCCGTCTATGGCCAGCCCAACTTTATGTGCACCACTCTGACACACCCCTGATAAAATCAAAGGACACCAAATCAAACACTGGTGACTGTATTGATAACTGGTCTATATCAAGGACAGTCTGGGGGTAACAAAACAAGGAAACCACAATACCCCTAGCTCTATACAGAGACTACTAAGCTAATAGAATAAAAAAGAAATCACAGGAAGTAATAATAATAATTATTATACAGGATTTATATAGCGCCAACAGTTTGCTCGGCGATTTACAGTATAAAGGGAGACAATACGACAACAATACAGTTCAATACCAAAGGGTAAGGAGGGCCCTGCTCCTGGGAGCTTACAATCTAATAGGGAGGGGCTGGTGGTACAAGAGGTAATAACTGTGAGGGATGGATTGATGGGAGAAATAGAAGATTTGGTTATTAGCTGAAGGCAGGATAGGCTTCCCTGAAGGTTTTTAGGGATTGCCTAAAAGTGAGCAGAGTAGGTGACAGACTGGGGTAGAGAGTTCCAGAGGATGGGGGAAGCTCTGGAGAAGTCCTGGAGATGAGCATGAGAGGAGGAGACAAGGGAGCTAGAGAGCATTAGGTCTTGGGAGGAGTGGGGCGGACAAATTGGGTGATATTTAGAGACAAAATTGGTGATGTAATTTGGGGCAGAGTTGTAAATGGCTTTGTATGTTAATGTTTTGAATTTTATTCATTGGGCAATGGGAAGCCAGTTGAGGGGTTGGCAGAGAGGGGTGGCAGACATGGAACGGTTGGTAAGGTGGATGAGTCTGGCAGCAGCATTCATGTTAGACTGAAGAAGGGATAGCCTGTGATTAGGTAGGCCAGGCCCGGCTTTATACTTACATTTTGAGATTTAGCTTAAAAGGTAGCAAGGGCACAGAGGTTCTGTGTTGACAGCAAAATGATAGAAACAAAACTCTTATTCAGCTATACTATCATCAGGTCCCCAAGAAACCCAAAGTTCAAGTCTGCCTGCAGGTCTTTGCAATACACTAATTGAACAAGGTTTCAGTGGAAGGATAGGGTCTTGAGTAGGTAGGCTTGTGGGCTCAGACAAAAAAGACACCGGTACCAAAAGAAATGGCCTCAACAATACAAAAAAAAAAGAAAAGGATCACTGTAACAGAAGAAAATCCTTGCAGCTGGCTAGCAAAGTTGGAGCCCTTATGGTGGTGCACATTTTATAGAGTCCACAGGTTCTCTCCTAGTCACAGTCAGCAGGTAACTAACAGAATAAACTGTTGGAAGCTTAGTTCAATCCTGCAACTTTGTTGAATAAAAGATAAGGGTAACAAGTTCTGTATAATTGCAGAGTGGGGAAGTAAGGGAATTGCTTACTTGGTGATTTTGGAGCCTTGGGTTAGGGTCACAGCAAAGTCAATGTGACTGGCTGCAGAAGTTCTGACCTATAGTAGAACTTCCTGAGGGGGGTGGCAGAGATTAAAGGTGGTGAATTCAAGGATCAATGTCTGTTATGTAAAAAAGAAGAAAGAAAGGATGGGAGAGCAACCCTCTCACTGCCTCCTGTGCTTCAGCTGTGGTTTCTGTAGTTGGAGGGGCACCTCTGTCAGCTGTGCTGGCCTCCAGCAGACTTGCTTGGGTGTTCTGCCCAAGCAAGATGGCCCTGCAACCCAATCAGCGTACCTGGGTCTATGAGGATGCAAACTGG